AAAATGGTTGCACAAGTAATTTTATTCATTTTTATAATATGCGTAAGCACATTATTAACCATCATTTAGTTGAAGATGTGCCTAGAACGTCACTTGTCAATAGTTCTCATAGTATAACGGTTGAAGAAAATGCATGTGATCTCAGAACGGACAATGATAGTATTCTAGAGCATAAGAATAAGTTTAATGAAAATGAGTACGATAGCATACAAGAAAATGAAGAAAAAGATGAATTTGATTTTCATTCATCAATTATAAAGATGACTGCAAAATTCCATTGTAATAGTTCAATAACAGGAGCAGCTGTGACAACCTTTTTAGATGAATTTGTGTTTCCAATTAACAAGTTCATTGAAAAAAAAGATTCACGCTCATTTACAACAAAATCAAATTAATCCCACTATAATTACTGATATCGATAGTTTTTTTGAGCTGGGTGAACCATTTAAAAATTTTAAAAGTTACGAACAACAAGTACAAGCATTAATTGAAAATACGACTTACATAGAACCTATAGAAATACCTTTAGGTTATCGTTTGGATTCAAGATTAAATAAAAAGACAAACTGCTATGAACCAAAACGCGTTGTCGAATCTTTCCAATATGTTCCAGTTATTACAGTTTTAGAAATGGTATTATCAAGTAAAGCGATTAGGAGAGCAATTCAAAATGAAAAACCAGCACATGATGGCTTTTATGAGAGATTTATTGATGGATCTAATTTTAAACATCATCCTTTTTTTTCCAAGTATAAGCATGCAATTCGATTGAAATTATACTACGACGAATTAGAGATCGTTAACCCACTAGGTTCGAAAACAGGTGTTCATAAGTTGGGAGCATTTTACTACCAAATATCTAATCTTCCCACCCACATGAATTCAGAGCTAGATAGTATTCATATTTTAGCATTAGCACACTATGTAGATGTGCAAAAATATGGGTTTGAAAAAATTCTTCGTCCTTTCATGGAAGATTTAAGAAAATTAGAAACTGATAATGGAATAATTTTGAATTTCATTGATGAAAATTATATTCTTCGTGCATCGATAGAGAGTTTTTGCGGGGATAGTTTAGCAGTTCACGATGTATATAACTTTTTAGGACCTTCTGCAAATATGTTTTGTCGTTTGTGTTTGTATACAAGATCTGACTTGCATTCACATTCCTTAGAAAAAGCCCAATCAAGAACTAAAACAGTTTATGACCAACAGTTGAATTTTTTAAAAGAAAATGATTACTCAAATGCTTCAAAAACAGCCACAGGACTAAAAGGAGATTGTTGTCTTAATCAATCAAAGTTTTTTCATATTACCAACAACAAAGTGTTTGACGTAATGCATGATTTTTTATGCGGTATTTGTCCCATGATTATAAAGTTAGTGAGCCATGAATATATTATCAAACAAAAAATTTTTAACATTTCATATTTCAATAGTCGTATATCAATGTTTAACTATGGTTACTTAGAGTACAAGAACAAGCCTTCAGCTAATTTCACCGATTCGATGCTGAGTAAAAAAGAACATGCCTTAAGCCAAAAGGCAATGCAGATGTGGTGTTTGACAAGAGCTTATCCTTTTTTAGTATCAGAGAAAGTAAACGAAGGAGATAAATATATGGACTTAATTAGTATGTTGCTCAGAATAATGGAAATAATTTTTGCTCCAAAATTATACAGATCTGAGATCACTTATTTGAATCGCCTTATGCGTTTATTTTTAGAGACACTGCAATTATTATTTCCCGATGTAAATTTTATTAACAAACTTCATCATGCTTCGCACTATGCTGAATGTATAGAAAGTTCCGGACCTCCGAGCAATTACAACTGTATGAGATTTGAAGGCAAACATGGCTTATTGAAATTAAGAGCGCAAAATATACACAACTTTAAAAACCCCCCAAAAAGTCTCATCAGACTATCTCAATGTATTCAAGCTGCGAAATGGGGGTCAGGTGATGTCAAAATTAATAAATATCGTGAGACCCGTAGTAAAGTAATCACCGTGTCTGAGACACAAAGTAAAAACGATCTCTTAGATATGGGCTTACAAGAAAATGACTACATTTCTTCAGCAAAAAAAATTACAGTTAATGGAGTAGAATTTTGTAAAGGTTTATTTGTTGTATTAGAAAAATCATCCTCACGAGAAGATAATTTACATCTATTTGGAAGAATTGACGAAATAGTCGTTATAGATGATGAAAGAATTTTTTTCCTCTGCAGTTTGTGTGTAACTTGTCATTTTGATAGTAGTCTAGTAGCTTGGGCATTTGAGTTAGGTAATGGGCTATACAAATTTATCAATGTACATGATATTGCATATTTCAAACCAGTTTGCTATTGGACGAAACCAAACGATGACCTATTGTATATCAGTCTTCGTCATATAATTATATAAATAAGTATAATACTCTTGAGAAGACGGGACAGAAGGGAGCTTATGTTAACAAAAACTCACGTTGCCGTTCTATCTTTTCCAATTTCCTCTTTAACTAAGCTAAATATATTTATTTTTCTACATTAACATAATAACTATACATTTATTACTTGCAAACGATGTAAAATTATATTTTACGAATTCAATGTTTATTGTATGATTGTATTAAATTTCTGTGTTGATCCATTTAGAGGAATGCATTAATGGAAAATCATTCCTTGAACTTACGCAAAATGATCTTCATATGATGAAAATAAAAATGGGACCAACGAAAGAGATACTTAAAATTATCAAGAATGTTAAATATATACATACAACTGTAAGTTCTGAGATAATAATTTATAGCAATGAAAGAATAATTTTCATAATAGTACACGTGTTATAGGAGGTCGTACAAACTTTAAGTGTTGATGAGATGGGTCTATTAAATGAAGATGGAAATGTGGTCACTGCGCAAGATTTAGTATCACTTGATAACAAAAAACGTAAAATCAAAGAAAGTGAGCTTGATTCTTACAGTAGAACTGAATGCTCAGAAAATAAAAAACAAAAGTTGGATACTCAAGCCAGTTGCAGCAAAACAAATGAAAATCATGTTGAAAATTTAAAATTTTCAGTTAGTTTTAAATTTTATATTTTAAGGAAATGACTCTAACCCACACTTTGGTGTAAATCTGTATTGCATTTCGATTTTTTATTCTTTTTAGCGTTTTGGCTCACTGAAAAGTGCGTTGTTACAAAATCAGCAATCAGCAAAGATTATTTCCAAGGCAACAAAAGATAACTATTTGACTGAAGTAGATAGGCGTGCTTTTGTACGTTTTGCTGTCGCAGAATTAGTAGCAACTCAAGGCACCAAGTAGGTCAATTGAATTTACACTATATTCAGAGTTACAACAATAATAATAACAATAATAATAATAATAATAGTAATAACAATAAATTTATGAAATCTTTAACAATCTTAGGTACCCTTGCGAAACATCAATTCACGAACTTGCCAAGGCTATAATTAGAGAGTTTCCATTTTTAAAAGACGACACAAAAGGATGTNCCAGTAAGTGCCCTGGGTCATTTGGTGATAGGCGCTTGGGTTCTTTATTAACCGTTTATTAATACATACATTGGCAAGTAAGCACCTTTGGTTATTGGGTGACAGGCGCTATTCTTATTAATCAATAATATATATTACTTAATATAGCGACCAGTAAGCGCCTTAGGTCATCGGGTGATAGGCGCCTGTGTTAATAAATAATATTTCATTATTTAATAGAGTGGCCAGTAAGCACCCCGGATCAACGGGTGATAGGCGCTTGTGCTATTTATCAATACTTCATTATTTAATAGAGAGGCCAGTTAGCGCCCCGGGTCTTTGGGTGATAGGCACTGGTGTTATTAATATTACAATATTTAATTCTTGCGCGTTTTCGGCAATGACACCTTTTACTGCTGTGCTGTCTGCTCGACGGAACACTCTTCCTAGATCGTATAGGCACCTTGCGAGGCACCTTGTAATTTGCTTTAACCTAGAATAAAAACTTGTTATTGTTCTCAAGCAAAACTTCGTCCTTCTAAATCTTCGACCTCTACATGAACACGGCAGCAGTGGGGCTGCCTAGCAACCAGCTTTAACGTCTCAAACTTCTCACACTCAAAGTTATACTAAGACCACGTAATACAGAGTGGTAAGTACAAAACTTGTTTACAATGTTGGTAGATTAATATTATATTATTCTTAATAAAGCGACCAATAAGCGCCCTGTAACATCGGGTAATAGGCGCTTGTGCAATTAATTAAAACTGTATTATTTAAATAAGCGACCAGGAAGCACCCCGTGATATCAGCCGATAGGCGCTTGCGTTAATAATCAATATTGTGTTATTTTATAGAGAGACAACGAAGAACCTGGGGTCATCAGGTGATAAGCGTTTGTGTTAAAAATTAATGCTTTATTACTTTATGGTAAGCCAGTTGGTGTTTTGAGTTATTTGGTATTTAGCGCTTGTGCTATTAATGAATATTTAATTATTTAACTAATTGGCCAGTAACCATATCCGGTCATCGGGTAATAGGCACTGGTGCTATTAAATAATACTTTATTATTTAATAAAGCGACCGATAAGCGCCGTGGATCATCGGGTGATTGGCACTTATGTTAATAATTATCACATTTTATTATAATAGAGAAGCCAGAAAGCATTCTAGGTCATCGAGTGATATAGAAGCTTGTGTGAATAACGATTACCTTGTAATATAATAGAATAGCCAGTGAGACCCCTGGATCATCGTGTGGTAGGCACTTGCGTTGATAATTAATACTTTGTTATTTAATAAAGAGGCCAGTAAGAGCCCTAGGTCATCGGTTTATAGGCGCTTGTGTTAATGATTAATACTTTATTATTTAACAGAGTTTTTAATAAGCGCCCTGAAAGTGAATATTGACTGTTTCGTAGTGAACGACATTTGACTAACAAAATAAGTACATATTGACTTATTATCAGTTAAATTTGACTGATTCAACTTTAGAGAGCGGGTAATAAGCGCTTGTGTTAAAAATAAATGCTTTATCACATCATAATATAGCCAGTTAGCGCTTTGAGTAATTAGGTTTCAAGTGCTTGTGCTATTAATGGATATATTATTATTCAACATAATGGCCAGTAAACACCCCGGGTCATCGGGTGATAGGCAGTTGTTCTATTAATTAAAACTTTAGTATTTGATAGAGAGGCCAGTGAGCACCACGGGATATCGGGTGATAGGCACTTGCGTTAATAATTAATACTCTATTATTTAATAAAGCGACCAATAAGCGCCCTTGGTTATCGGGTAATTTAATAAAGCGACCAATAAGCGCCCTGTAACATCGGGTAATAGGCGCTTGTGCAATTAATTAAAACTGTATTATTTAACAGAGTTTTTAATAAGCGCCCTGGATCATCGGGTAATCTGTTTCGTAGTGAACGACATTTGACTAACAAAATAAGTACATATTGACTTATTATCAGTTAAATATGACTGATTCAACTTTAGAGAGTCGGCAACTCCTCTTCCCAATTGTCTTGCCGCTTTTCTGGCAAGAAAAGTGTTCCAGGTTCAAATTCTGGTCGAGGTGACACTTTCTTTCAATTGCTACGTATAAAAATTTTTCTACAAATCTATAATTTTAACTGAAAAAATTGAGTTGCCTTGGCAATCTCGAACTGGATGGGAAATGTCGATAAATCAAATTCCTCGCATTAATACTGATCCGATAAAATTAGATTAATTTCTAATATTCTTATTTACCATAAAAATACTTCTGTTTCTTACCACAGTGTGACTGAGCTCTATGAGTGCATGTTAATTTTCTCACTCGTACATATACTATGAATACTTTTACATGTATCCAGGAATGGGCACAGTCTTAATGAACGAAATTTTAATACGAATGTATTTACAATAGTAAAATTATTTTTTCGATTAAACAATAGTTTA